GTAGATGGAAAATCTACGCAAGCTCGGAGTGATGAAAGACAAGCTTTAAATGATCGTAAACGCCGTGTATTATCATCAATAGGTTACTATGAGTCCACTAAACAAAAAAATGACGTAGTCGTTTTCGCAGCAGTTGCCGGTGCTGTAGTTGCACTGCGAGCGTTGCCTCCTAAGCTTAATCCCGTCGTTAGATCTATTATGAATTCCATAAAAACAGAAGAAAATCTAGGATTACAGCAACGTTCGGCAGCTACACTGGCGAGCCTTGTTGAACTTTGTGCCTCTGAGGATGGCTCAACGCGAGTAAATCCTAACGACAAAATCGTGAAAAATCTATGTACATTTCTTTGTTCTGATCCAACTGCAACACCTGAACTGCAAGCTAATCGTGCAAAGGAGGGCATATTGTCTTTACAGAAGGCTAAGGAACCTGATAAAGGTTCATCTAATAACGATTCCCAAAATGAAGATGAAGAGCTAAAATCACAAAAATTAATACGTCGTGGTGCTGAAACAGCACTTCGGCAATTTTCTCTACAATTTGGACCAAAATTATTTGATATTGTTCCAAGGCTATGGACGTGTGTGCATTCATCTTTGAGTACAGTGTTCATTCATGGTGTGTAATAATTAGTTTTATGTTTTAATACAAATGGTCGTTATACGTTAACAGCTTCTTATTTTGTGCTTAACATCGAGTAGATGACAAAGAAAAGATATCAACGGTTTTTAAAACAAACATAAATTTGGGACAAGACGTAATTGACTCTTTGCAAATATTACAAATATTGGTTCCTGTCTTTCATGAATCTCTTCAATTGAAGGTGCATTAGATTTATATATAGTTTACTTTTAAATTTATAACGCATATTAAAAAAGCAATTGCATTTAAACAGGTTACTGAATTACTGCCTTGTATTGTGAAAGCTATTCAATGCCAGTATTCAGTAATTCGGTCCATGGCTGCCCGTTGCTTTGCCACGATTGCTAATGTTATTACCATCCAGAGTATGCAGATAATAATAGACCAAATAATACCACTATTGGGGGATTCACAAAATGTGATACGTCGCCAAGGAGCTGCTGAACTAATATATCGTATCCTTTACAGTGTCACCAGAGCTCGCTAATGCTTAAGCATTTATATTTTCTTAACCTTTAATTTGGTGAATTTAGATGTTGTGCAAACTATGGACGCAAAGATTCTTCCTTATGTCATTTTTTTGATTGTACCAATTTTGGGTCGAATGAGTGATGTGGATGAAAATGTTCGATTAGTGAGCACCAACTGTTTTGCTATGCTGATAAAGTTGGTGCCGTTGGAGGTAATTTTAATTACATTTAATATATTGTAAAAAATTATTCTTTAACGTTCTAATTGGTTCTCGTTTGTTTTAGGCCGGAATACCTGATCCACCTGGCCTATCTACAGAAATGTTGATACACCGAGACGAAGAACGTAAATTCCTTGCTCAGCTGCTCGATAGCAGAAAGCTAGATCCATATGAAATTCCTGTTACAATCAAAGCTGAACTAAGAAAATATCAGCAGGAAGGCGTAAATTGGCTTGCATTTTTAAATAGGTATCAATTGCATGGAATATTATGTGACGGTAAAAAATTTTTATCGAATTTGTTCGGAAATAATTGTTGCATATATATATGTATATATCAATGACAATCAATAATATCTTTAGATATGGGACTTGGCAAAACGCTTCAATCTATTTGCATCCTTGCTAGTGATCACCACATGCGTGCTACCAAATATAATACAACAAAATCACCGGACAGCGTACATTGTCCATCATTAGTTGTTTGCCCACCTACATTGACAGGGCATTGGTATCATGAAATATTAAATTATACTGACACATTAAAGCCTCTCCTATATTCTGGTAACCCTAAAGACAGAGATAGGTTTATATTTTTAATCATATCGATAAATATCTGCCATTATATTTTCTTTTTGCTAACTTATAATTATTTTAAAGGCTCCGACCAAAGATCCCTAACTACGACGTAGTCATCATGTCATATGATATTGTTCGTAATGACATTGATGACTTGGCCAGTATACATTGGAATTATTGCATCCTGGATGAAGGACATGTGATAAAAAACGGAAAAACAAAGATTACTAAAGCGGTAAAGTCAGTAAAGGCTAATCACCGACTAATATTATCCGGAACACCGATACAGGTTTTTATCTGGCTAGTGTCTTTATGTTTTTATTTTGACATTATCTATTTATTAAAATACTGTTTGATAATATAGAACAATGTACTAGAATTATGGTCGCTTTTTGATTTCTTAATGCCTGGATTTTTGGGTACAGAAAAACAATTTAACGAGAGATTTGGAAAACCAATATTGGCAAGTAGAGACAGCAAAAGCTCATCTAGAGAACAAGAGGCCGGTATGTAGCATGTTAACTTGATTATTTAATTTACGTAATAATTCATGTTTACTCTAATTTAGGCGCGCTTGCCCTTGAAGCTTTACATAAACAAGTGTTGCCATTTTTGCTGCGCCGATTGAAAGAAGATGTACTGAGTGACTTGCCTCCCAAAATTATTCAAGACTATTACTGTGAACTTAGTGATTTACAGGTTGGATAACATTAAACAAAGTTTATATGATTTATGTAGTATTGATGGACATCAGTTCTAATACAATTGTTACCACTTTTATAGAAACAATTATATGAACAGTTCGCTAAATCGCAGGCTAAAAGTAAAGTTGAAATAGAGCTAGAAACAGAAATTGCCGAAGAGGAAGGAGAAAAAAAGAAAACACATACACATATTTTTCAAGCGTTACAGTATTTGCGTAAACTATGTAATCATCCTTTGCTTGTTGTCAATAATAAGCATCCTCAGTACCGTATGGTCATGGACCGACTCAAAGCTACAAAGACTTCATTGCACGATTTGGAAAATGCTCCAAAGTTGCTTGCATTAAAGTAATTATAGTTTTTTTTTCACAATATATAATCATTTTTTATTAATTCAAATTCATGCTATAGACAATTATTACATGATTGTGGCATTGGAACGTCCCAAGACTCTGAAGATTCTCTTGGAGCTGGCGCAGTAAGCCAGCATCGTGCACTTATATTTTGCCAACTTAAGACTATGCTCGATATCATAG